GTTGAAAGCTCTAGATTTCTGGTCTGAATCATTTTTAACATTTGAACTCTTTGATGAAGATGAAGCTCCCTGAAGCAAATCTTACCAAATGGGGGTCCATGACGTGATGTGTATCAATTTAGAGGTCCATGACACAAAATGTTGAGAACCAGTGGTCTAGTGGGAGTCAAACGCTTTGTCCCATTTCATCACAAAAAGTTGAGACGCCTTCAGAAAGTGTTAACATGGCTCTGCCCAGGGAGGAATTGACATGCTACAGCACACTTTATCATAAATCCCCTGTAACTGGTACCATGGGTGCACCTGGAAATGTTCTTGTGTGAAGTTGGTGCATCATTTCTTTGAACAATATATACTTGTTTTTAAATATCTGTTAAAAGACAATAAGCTCTCATAGTGCATTAAAGTGATAGAGTGATGATGCATAGGAATCACACAGAAGCCCACTGCTATGTACAACTGTTTATTTTTGATTTGCAAAACATCTGACAAAAATAACATTACATAAACACCAATTTATAATAGAAAAAAGATCTTTGAAAAAAAAGAGACAAAAGATGAATTGCAATTACATTAAAATTTAGGTGACCTAACTTTATTTTGCTAATTGGAGCCATATCATGCTGACCTACACAGGCAGTTTATGGCTAATAGATTCATCAGTATGCATGTGTTACAAACATTACATTAAGTGCTTTTTGTTGGTTCAGGCAATTTTTTAATTCAATGTGGCATGATTTGGGTTTCACAATGCAGGGTGACAATTCAATGCCAAATTCAAATTTACTCCTCATAGAAGATCAATACACATGGCTGAATAAGTACTAAGTAGGAGGCCAATCTCACACTCAGGCAACCTTCTGGTTGGAATTAAGCTGGGGAACATCTGAAGCCAGCTTCATTAACACCCTCCCCTGCATTAAAAGGGACACGTTATGGCACACAGCTCAGGGTAGATGTGACCATGGCGACATTGTTCCTCAGTATTCACTGATCAATAAAAACTCTCTTATTTCATTCAGTGTTTACCTGAAGCAGTTTGACATGAATACAAAATAAACTTGGTTTAAATTCACCAAAGTGAGTAGTTGCTCTGTTAATATGATACTACGATCTGAAAGGATTTTTATTTTTTTTTTCCAATGAGCACCACTAAGTTGCGTGCGTTTCAAGACACAATCCAACAAGGCGCCGCTGGGGGTGGGGGCAGCATTTTGGATGATGCCTGCGTTGTGTGGTGTCAGAAGCGCACAACTTGGTGATGCTCAAGATAAAAGCAGCATTGCATGGATACTGAGGATTTCACTTCTCCTAATTCCCTTGTTAGACCGAACATCGGCAGGGAATGATGAAGGTGCGGGAGTAGACTTTAGGACAGAAGGAGAGGTGAAGACACGGGGAGGGTATGAAGGGGATGGCGTGGCAAATAAGAGGGACAAGGTAAGGATGGCGTATTACAGAGCAAAGACCATGCTAACAGTACCAAGTGGAGCGCAAACACACCTCCCGCTTCTCCTACTGCCACAAAGTCTTTCAGGTTGTTCCTTCTTTACAGCTGGATAAACTCCACAAAGTTCTCCTCAGTTTGCCCTGAGGAACCATTAAGATAAGGTAGATATCAGCCACATGGCAACCGGATTAATTGCATCAGTGGCTGAAAATCACCCACACATCCAAAGGGACAAAGATGTGGATAAGAATGTGGAGTAAATGCAGCCTCACCCTAGCCAGTCTGAGCCTTGTTGGTCAGAGTGCAGGCACTATATTAAAAACACTCCTGGTATTTTGTGCGTTAAAAAAAGGCAATGCTGAGTCTGAGAAGAAAAAAAAAAAAAAAAAAAAAAAACTGTACAAGAAAAAAAAAAAAAATATGAATGACTTCATTAGCTGGACTCTCCCAAATCTGTGAGATATCTCTGAGGTAATCATTGAAGTATGACTCATTAGACAGCAATAAATACCAACATGAATACAAATATTACAAAAGTAAAAACAGAGGCAAATGCTTAATGCTAAAGCAAAATCTGAGCTAAAAGAGGTAGGTTTTTTAGGTAGATTATGGTGTACATCCATTGTGGACACTCCTTTTTGTAAGAACTAAATTAAGTTGATTCCATTACAATCCCTGTCCTAATGGGAGGAACAAAAAAAATAAAAAAATAAAATAAAATAAAAGACTTGAAAGCCTTTGTGTGGGAGATGGCCGACTGTTTTCTATGAATGGTATCATACATGTTTTTACAGACAGGATTTGTAATGGCAACAGTTATACAAAAAACTTCACTACTAACATGATAAACTGTAAAGCTTGCTGGTGATAGTGTACCATGAGTTGTATATTGCAGGCATTGTTACTGTGTTATGTTGCCAATCTCAAGGAAATCTTACCAAAGATGGAGCCATCTAATTCGAGGCGGATTTCCATTGACGCATGGTTTTTTTTTTCCAAGTTCCAGTATTTTCAACAACCGCAATGCAGAGTTAAAAACTTACAGATTCTGAGCAGCCTATTGTGGTAAAACCAAACCGGAGACTCTGGGGATGCACCATATTTACATTGAAGTGTATTTGCATATTATGTACAGTATGTTGGGTGGGGAATTAAATGGGGAAAAAGGTCCTATAAACAGCATTTAATCACATATTTAGTCATAAAATGGAAAAAGGGGGTTTCCCTGCTTATTATAAGTAAGAATTCCCCTGATGCTATGCGGTACTGACTGAAATCTACTTGTTCAAATAACAGCAATATGATACATCCACAAGACTCTTCCTGTTTGGTTTGTCAAATCCCCAAGAGCAACTCCTCTTTTACCCTGTTCTTGTGTGGAGGGAACTCTCCCCGTGGCACTTACTTGTTCACCAAACCTCCCGCTGTATTGAACATACACAAATCAACACTGCATCTCTATCTCAAAAACAATATAGAACTAAATCAAAACCCATATCTACATACGGAAGTATGTATTCAGAGAAAATCAACGTGGAGACTTTTCAAAAACTTCAAAAGTCAGTGTTCAGTAACCAAGCACATCATACCCCTCATCAAACTGACATACTATACATATGAGTGGTACTGCCTAAAGACACTCGAGCCTCAACTACTTAAAGTTCAGTCACGGTAGGGAGATTTGTGGGGCACATGGAATCATATATACATATATATATATATATAT